AAAAATTTATTGCTACTTCCACCGTGTTCTAACGCAACAACCTCCCGTAGGCGAAAACGAATCGCGTTTCAGAGGCGAATATCGACACTGAACCGTCATCCTGTAACAATGTTGGACGCTATACTGAAACGTACAACAAACGAAGACCAGCCCACACTGTGCTTACGTATCGGGGCTGCTTGAATCGTAAAGTGTTTAATATCGTAATCTCGTTTACAGTGAATAAAACGGTAGGGGAGGGGCGAGGCGTAGTGGGCGGCGCTAGGGAGGGAGTGGGGAGCGGTGGGCGGAGCTAAGGAAAGGGACTGGGAGTGGGGAGTAAGAGGTATCGACACCGGTGATGTTTCTCGGTTCATCTTTTTCTCCTGTTTCTTCGTTTTTTTTTTGTTTTTTTCATTTTTGCTTTGTTCTTTTTTCTTGGTTGGTACATATACACACACTTCGATACAATATTAAAACACTTATCAATTTCATTTGCAAACATTTCCTTACCTAGTATGTTTCTATTATTTCATCGTTATTCGGATAATACCGCATATCCATATAACAGGTGTACTCATGAAAGCAACGGAATAACGGAACTGAAAAACGTTTTCGCTTAAGTTAGTGTTCTTCTTCTTCTTCTTCTTCTTCTTCTTCTTCTTCTTCTTCTTCACCTTCTCATTTTTTTTCTTCTTTTTTCTCTTTTTTTCTCTTACGGTTTACGCACGTTACTTAAACCGAGGGACTTACATTTATTACAATATACAGATATCGTTCTATCCGGCAAGAAAATATTCGCGGTTTTTCCACTAAAGCCGAGCAAGCTTCGTCCCCTCTCGATAGATTTCGATCGAAATCGAGGATCGTCACAAAATGAAATAATCGAGCGTTTTCGCCTAACTCCTCCCGAATCATCGCCACGCGTGCAAACTATCGAAGGGCAATCGTTGTGCTTCCTCTTTACAATGATAACAACGATAACGATGACAATAGTGAACGTAATTCGTGAAGAGGGTGACGCTAAGCGTGTAATTGCCGTGATACGATCGTTCCTCCGTTTCCTGCAAAACTGATCGAGCGAAGCTGTTTGGAAAACTAGCCCTTAAACTTAACACATTATCGATATCTTCTTTTTTTCGGATTCTTCTTCCTCTTGCTGCTACAATTAGCGGTGTCGTTTAAATTGATCGCTACTATGCGGCAGGTTAACGATAACATTTTCTAAACATTGAAACTTCGAGGAAATTCGAGTCTTCTATATTCGCTAGATGTTTCTTACAGTTGCGTTAATTGTGCTTGGAAACCTTGCACGGTTGTTCAAATCAACCGAACGAATGCAGCTATTTGAGTAGAATTTACGCTCGTAGAAAGGACATGTAAGGAAACAAGAATTTTTCAGAGCTTACAACGGAAGGTCCTGAAGTGATGATCGTCGGTTTTGATGAAACTTTGGGATACGGTAGTTCTCAAAAAACTATTCGACACGTATTTTTTTATATCGGCAATTTTCCACGTTGAAATGGTAAAAGTCGCTGTGAAAGCTTCGAAATAGCAAATTATTTATTCTAATATCTCGAAAAATATTAGAGTTAGAGAAATGGTGTAAATTGACGAATCCTGTCATTCTTCAACGACAAAATTTGAAAAATATAAAATTATTCATTACTTCCTATTTTTTATAATTTTTATTTCTCCGTCATTTCTCTAACTCCAATAATTTTCGAGATATTACACAAAATATGAGTATTACTCCCTTATCTTTGACAGCGATTTTCACCCCTTCACTGTATACGATTTTCTATAAAAAAAAAATACGTGTCAAATATTTTTTTATGAACTACTATATACCAAAGTTTCACGAATATCGATCATTGTCATTTCGAGAAGTTCCTTTGTTAGTTGTGTACAGTTGAATTTCATTGGACACGATAACAAAGCATAATCTATCCGGCAAAAGCTCGAGTCGGTGTCGGAAACGTTGTACAAATAGCGTTTCTACGTTAACGAGAGGCCGCATTCACAAATTGTGTACAATCCGGTGGAATTATACAACTATTAGAACGGTTCAATCGTTTCTTACAGAATCTTCGAACTCAATCTCTGAAGAGATTTTCATTCACGAGGCAATCGTTGAAATCGAATTTCAATTTTCCTTCTTTCATATACAGGGTGAGCCTCGTGAAACAGGCCACCCAATCGTTGATAATTTTCGTACGTGATTTAAATCATTTTACAGAGTGAATAAAATGTACGAAAAATTTTTCCATGAAAGAAATGGCAAAAATGAAAGAAAGTGTCACATTTGATTTAAAATTTTATAGTGCAAGGCCATTTTATTGCCATATTATTGTGCAAATTTAAATGCCCATCAATGCCTGCAAAATTTACTACGAAAAAAAATATATATATTTCAGTAAAAAGAATTTTGGCGATCTTGAAAGAAACAGAAAAAAATTCTAAGACAATTGCTTGGCCTGTTTTACTTCTCGCACCCTGTACATTTCTTGGATCCAAGAATTTCCCGCACAAATTCCGTCGATTTCAGCGAAAGAAAAGAAAATTCGATGAATATTCTCGACAGAAAGAAAGTTTCACGAACGTTTCTATTCCCACATCATAGAAAACTCCCGTGGAATTGTAACATTAGTTTGAAGAAGAGCGAAGATCTCGTCGAAGCGGTTAATAGAAAGAATCGAAAGCTTAGTTTAACGGTGTAGCTGACGCTGACCTACGGTGCTCATTGTCTTTCCCAAAACTTCGCAGCTTCGACGTACGTTATATTCATTATCTATCCGTTTAAATGTAAATTTATAGAGAAATATCTTGTTATCATTAGTTTTTTTTTTTTGTGTGTAAACGTTTCATGTAAATCGATAGTAAATAATGTAATAATATTCGTAATAATAATATAATACAATACTTCTCTAAAATTGCCGTTTATTTACACGTCGCGCATCTGAAAAATCTAATCGAACCCACCCACGTGTGTGTAGAAAAATATCCGATGAGAATTCGATAGAGACTCGGAGAGAGAACTTCTGCGGCCGTAACACGTTCACGT